ACAACTTCATCATGAAACAGCAACTTTGCTTTTATTATTTGAATAGGAACCTGGCTTCCTTAAAGCACTACTTTATAAGGAAGGGAGAGAGGGAAGAAAGAAAGGGAGGGATCACTAAAATAATGAAAATGAAGTATTACTTGCAAGAAGGAAGAAGGTAAATGTGCTCGGGCCTGTAGTTTCCATGTACCTGATGGATCGTGTACTGCAGCAGGAATGTGTTAGTCTCAATGCTTTCTTTAGGACAGTTAGCAATCTGCACCCTCCAGAGGAGGTTTATTTTCACTTACTCACTGAGCACTCCACAATAGACTCTATCTATCTTTATTACCAACAAATACCAAATACTAGTGGGTTTAATGTTAAGCTGGATTTCACATGTGACATTAAAACTAACAATACAATATTATACAAATATTCTACTTCCCAATTTGTGTGTATCAGCAGTAAAAGTCTACAAGTCTTTTACTTTCTAATGAGCTGTACTGCAAACTTTGCCTCATCTTGTGTTGCACAATGGCTCTGGAGTCATTTGCCTGACCGGAGAGGGAAATACAGTAGTACCCTCGATGCATAGTTTGGCTTTCTGAGGTTTTAGTTACAAGCAGTCAATCAAAGTCTGAAACTATTAAGTGGAAAATTCCAGAAATAGTTGAAAAGTTTTAAATTGTGCACTGCTCTGAGCATCGATGGCATCTCGTGACGTCCCACCCACCTGGCCAAGACATCGACCACGCTTGGTCCAGCACGTCTGCACCACACACATTGACCACCCAGTCAGTCACTCACAAGCCACTCTGCTTGTCACAGCGAGTCATGGTACCATGCTGCTTTGATTAAGCAGCTTTTATGTTGCTTAATAACGATTCCAAGTGCAAAGATAGTGATCCTACTGATTTTACTGCAGAACATTGTCATAGTTGTCATATTTCATTATTGATGCTAATCACCATCTTAATGTACTTATTGTTAGAGCACACGGAACAGAGATCCAGACCTCAGGGTCTATAACCAGAGAAAAAATTACTTTTTTTTCTGTAAATAAACCCAAATTCTATTTTGTGCCTATATATAGAATTGCAACTATTTTGTGTCTATATATGAAAAAAAGGTCTGCCTGTGGTAGAATGTGTTCTCTCTGTGACCCGGAAGCAGGGCTGTAGGAAGCTGGTTTCTGTCAGCACCTGCCTATAGCAACTGGCTGCTACACATGCGCACACAGAAAAACAAAAGCCTGTGTCTGTGCATTACAGTTTCGGTCCCATTGGTGGGTATCAGAAAACATTGATACGTATGCAATAAAAGTGGCCAAAAGAAAAAAAAAAAAGAGTGAAATCTTAAGTATTCCACTTCTTCAAAGGAAACTAGTCTGACCAGCTATACTGAAGTAGTGTCTATTATAGGCAACTAATTAGTCAGAAGAGGAAGTGAGACGAACATTGTATGCAGAATAACGGAGGATAATATGCATACAAGGGTGAGCAGAAACGAAGCATCCCAGGCACGTGCTAGGAGATGGTGGTATTGAAGGAAGTCCCACAGATGCACTCATTTGGAACATTATTTTTTTCCATCTTATTTTTCCATCATTTCATAGTGGATCAGAACTGAAGGTTCTGCCTTAACAGCACCACTGGTGAGAGCTGCCAGAAGTTAGGTCCAGATATATAGATAAGACCCTCTAATTACACTAACAGGCTGCAGGGTCTGTAGTGCATAGGTTGTGTATAGGTTAAGCAACAAGGGCAAGTAGATGCGAAGCAATGGCTGGCGGCAAACCATAGGCCTGCTGAGACCTGGCTAGTGCTAGGTGCTGGGAGCTCCAGTGGGGTTCACATAGATCAGGGGATGACAATATAAGGTGTTGAAACTGCTTCGGTGAGCAAGCAAGGACCTCGGATTTTTGTTTTTACCTATTAGTTTTGTTCTTCCTAGTAACTGTAGAATCTGATTCTTATTCCCTGAAAGTTGTGAGTGCAAAATTTCTGTTTTTCTATAAAGAAACCTAAGTTCTATTTGTAAAGTTGAAATAAACGTGAACATTTAAAGTACATCCAGTCTCTCGAGTTACCCATCTTCCTCTCTACTCCTTTGCCCAGATTGCGCCTAAGCCTGCAAGCATCTGAGACAGCACATAAAACTGGATTGCGTACGGCTTTCTGTGCCCACTTCCCACCCGACTTCGTTGGGTGCACGTTGCCCTCTGCTTTCTGTTACGAACCCATTCAGAGGTCAGCCGCATCGTCCTATCCAAGCGGAGGCTTCCAGTTTATTTGTTCTCTGTGCTAACACCATGCTGCTCTCAGCTTGATAGAAAAGTATTCTACAGATATCGGGGTGTATTAATGAGACAAGAGATGCCCAGAGACCATATCAGGAATGTACTGTGCATATTTTCTTCCGTTTCAGTATCCCTAAAGAGGGAGAGAGGACACGACTCTGAAGGGGCAGGGCAGGATACTGTACATGGAAAGCTTCCTATCTTTCTGAGCTCCACTTTGAAGACACCAATTCTCTTAGTTATAGAAACCAAAGTTTATGTGTTTGTTCTATGATTAATTCTAATACAAAATCCAGAGCTTGGAGAAATAAGATACCAAAGAACTTGCTAGAGTTTAGACTTGGAATCTCCTCAGAATTCACTGCCCAGACTTGGTTGCCAGGGACACACTTTCAGGTGGAGTGGTGAGCTCCCGAGAACTCTGTCCCCCCAAAGGAATTCATCTGATGATCAGGTCATGCACTGTGGACTCATGGGTGTTCATGGAAGCAGGAAATGGGAGTGCATCGCAGGGGCGTGACCTGGACCACCATATCTGGCCCCTTCCTTTCAAGCTTTTCTCTCTGCCTCTGCTTCACCGCTGGGAATAGGCAGCTTTCCTCGGCTGTGCCTCTCTGCTGTGATGCTTCTGCCTTGCTCCAGGTCTAATGCGAGGAGGCTGGATGGTTGTGAACTAAACTCTCCGAGCCCAAGAGCCGGAATCAGCCCTTCATGCACAATCCATACTGCTCGCCTCAGGCGCTGCATCAGGCTACCACAACGTGCCAACACACACTCATCCTCCAGGCACACCAGCATCTAAACCGTCTTTTTTCTTGCTCTGTCCTCTTCCCTTCCTAAGAAAATTTCTGCCTCAGGGATATAGCTCAGCAGCACAAGCACCTGCCTGGCAAGCGCAAGGTCCTAAGTGTGATCTCCAGTGTCAAGAAAACCCATAAATTTGTTGAGGATTTACAAATTATGTTGGCCTGATGATGTGTTAGTATGTTACTAAACCTTGGTTTTCCTCTTCCATCATTTACTTTTATTGTTTAGAATTTTAAAATTATCTTTCTTTTTAAATTTGCTTCTGAAATATAAAACAGAAATACTTTGATTTTATTGTTGTTCTTCTCTTTCATCCTTCTTCTAAGACACTAGCTCAGAGCACTCTCCTTTTTTCTATAATTGGGGCCAGAGATAGCAGGGCATCAAAGTATGGGAAAAAGAACACCAAGCAGTAACCAAAATATTGAGGAACATTTTCAAGATATACTGTTACATAATGTTAACCATCCTTTTTGAGGAGTATATAATTTAGAATGATCATTTCATGAAACTTTTCTTTAAGGAAAAATGTCTTTTATGAATCAACAAAAATATATGTCTAAAATAAGTTTTTTTATTACATCATCAATCTCTAGCCAACTATCAGTGTTTCAGGCAACTGAGTTAGGCAAACATATTATGGGCAGTCAGACAGGGCGAGGCCTTCAAAGGAGCCAGTGTGGGAGAAAAGATGCCTTGCAACTATGGACAAAACAGACACCCCTGCTGTGGACCAGACCTCAAGACAAAGATTAAACAAATGTACCCCAAGCCCCCCTAAGGATTGGTATTGGGACCAGGTCTCTATCATCTTGAGAAACCATGAAGAGTCACTAACCCAACCTCCCTACAGGAAGAGCTCCTGCTCTGGACTCGTGCTGCTTGCTGCGTGACTCCGACTCTCTTCCCCATTTGATCCTGACCTGATCAGTTTTACCTCAGCAATTAGGATTGTAATCTTACTGGTTGGCCATAGTTTTGTCCCACCTCATGCCCACCTTGGGAGCTCCCATGTTTCCCATCGTAAACCTCCTCATGATTTTGCTGTATACAAATCTCTGAAAAAGACAGGTTCCTGGGCAGCCCACTCAGGTCCACTTCTGCCTCTCTTTCAGACAAAAGCTTTCTTTTCTTTTCTTTTCTTTTCTTTTCTTTCTTTTTTTTTTTTTTTTTTTGCAGAACCAGGGATTGAACTCAGGCCCCTGTGCTTTCCAGGCAAGTGCTTATTCCACTGAACCATCTCCCAAGCCCCAACAAAATCTTTCTTTCCTTCAATAAATACATTCTTCTCTTAATCTCCCTTGTTCCTAAAATTCATTCTTTGATTTTAGAGAACTCAACCTCATCCCAGATACCTTTTGGTTGGGAGTTTCTTCCTTGCATATTACCAGGATGGTCAGCAACACTAAAAGGAAAAGAGTCAGCATTTTGTAGAGAGACAAGTCTAGTAAGCTTGGTCTGTTTAAATACTAATAAATATTTAAGTTTTCACTGGTATTCACATATAAAAAACACTCCTAAAACAGTTAATTCATTCAATCACTGAGAGGTATGATTAAATGTCCAAAAATCTCTGAATTCTCAAAAGTTTCCATAAAAATCTATGAAATGCATCTGATGCTAATTTCATAAAGGTATGATGATCAATATATCCAACTACAAATTACATAGTGTGTATACATTAAGCACTCCTAAATTATCTGAATATTTCTGGAATTTTAAATTATTGAATCATCCTATAAATAGGCCTAAGTAATATTTTAGAAGGCCACAAGATAGAGTTACCATTTAAAATTATATATGTTGATATATTTATGTAATATTTACCTGGTATCTTTTCTAAAATGACTTTATACAAAAACATCAGTAAATTTTTCCTTTGTTTTACAGCTTGCTACTAAATCCTAATTAAAGAAAACCTAAGTCCTCTCCAGTAACACATTCTACAAAGTGAAACCCAGGTCAGTGTTCCTGTCCTCGACTCTTAAAATCTAGAAAAAGAGCGGTGGTGTTAGCCAAGGCCAGACGTAGAAAGCGATTCCTGTTTCACAGGGCTCTGCAGGCTGTGGGTGAGATTGCAGCTCTCAGCCTCTCCGGCTTTGCCTGCCATTTCCATGATAGGCTTGGCCTTTATTTTTTAAAATACTAAGCAGCTTCTTGTGGGTGGGATCAAATGACTGCCCCTCTCCCTTCACCTGCGAAATTTCAGAGCCTATTTGAAAAGGGCCATTGTTTCCCAGGAATGCCAGGCCCAGTCCAGGAAAGAAAGTCTTCATTTCCACAGGAATTTGGAGCCTGCCTGAGAAGGCCAGCCAGTTACTTGGTGAAAACTGGTAATTCATTCAAGTTCTGAGCAGTGACTCTCCAGGCCTTACTCTCTTACTTTCAGCCCCGGACTTTTAGGACTAATTTCTTTTTCCTTTGAATCACAAGGATATGTGCATATGGATCTGTGCATGCACCTTACAGCAGGAGGAACACGCGTGAAGCACAGCACGCACACAGAAGGGAGCCGGCGGGGACGCTCTCCACACAGAGAGCCACAGCCTGCAGCAGGAGACATAGGTCCTTCTGTTCCAACTTCTTCCCTGCCGTTCACAGCACTTGAGTGCATTCCTGTGAATAAGTGCGTATGTTTAGCAAGAATTTGAAGTAGGTTCCTAATAAAATATATTTGTACAAGAATATAAAACAAAGATACAGTACTTGTATTCAATATCTGGACAGAAGGCCCCTGTCTGAAGCACATTAAAAATAATTTCTATGGGAAAATTCATTGCAGTAGAAGGAAAGAAATAAGCTTGAGAGAAGCACAGTGAAATCTTTCTGGTTGGAGTCTACAGGGACAGACCACAAGTATTACAATATAACCTTCCTACTGTTTAGAGTCTGATGTTTTCCACAAAATGACTTAATGTTCAAACCACCGCCCAAGCATTCGAACTGACTAAAATGTAAAAGTAAAAATAAAAATAAACAATGATAATGTTAATTAATTTGAAAGCAGACCGTCTGTTATGCTTGTTTTTCAGTAGGAGACAGTAATGGTGCCAGCGTGGCTTCAGGACAGTAGTTTTTGAAAGAAAGTTAAGTATCTTGAGCAGGAAATTTTCTTGATCACTACATTCAACATTTAAAGATTTGGGGAAAGTTTACTTTTTATGACTTTGACACAGTATGCATTTACTTTCTCAGTAATAAAGCACTGCTAATGTCTAGTGAACTGTCATGTCATTGTTTTCCAAAAGGAATATTCGAAATTCAGAAAACAGGGAAACAGAAGCCAATAACCCAAAAGATGGCTTTCTTTTTCTTCCCTTTCCTTTCGTCAGATGTTTCCTGTAATCTTGTGAAAAACCTGATGTTGTGACATTATTAGTCACTGGGCTTGCGGGGAGATGGCACACAAAAGGAAGCCTGTCCTTTTGGGACCTGGTTTTGAACCAGTTTCAAACGACAGAAAAATACTCTTTTGTGGCTGCTAAAGTTCAGGCATGAATTCTGGCAGTCTTACCCAATTCCCTAAAGCAGAGTCCACATTACCGACATCTAATTGGCAGGCTCTGCCTGCAACTCCCACTAGGGCCGAGGCAATGAATGGACTCAGTGAAGGTGTCCCGAGCTGTTGGCACGGGCTAGGCTGGCCACTGCTCCTCCTTCAGCCGCCCCAGACACAGTGCTCAGTGAGGAGGCCGCGTGTCTGCGTGAAGACACAGCAGTCTGACTCAGTTGTAGCTCTACGCAGAGCTCGTCTCTTCACTTAATCTACAAAAGCAAATGGGCCTGAGCGAACAAAAACAACTTCTGTTGGGTCATTTCATTCCTTGATCTCTGCTCCACACCAAGTACAGCTTAAGTGTCCGGCTAACTATGGTTGAATGTTCCTTCCTCCAGGTCAGCTCCAAATTATTCTTTAGACAGCCAGAGAAGAAATCTATCCCATCCCTACCAAGCAAAGTCTTTAAGGCTTACTTTCATTGCCCAGCACACTGTGTCTACTACATCTCGTCAGAATATGTCAATAGCATTACATTTTTATGTCGATTCATTTTATCCTGTGAATTCTTTAAATCATTCATGCCAAATTCTTATCTGAAAATACTGTTGTATCTGCCATTTGAGTGAAAGGCCACCGCCCTCCAAAAGCAGCAACTGTAACTGAATGCTCATAATTTCAGTAGGATCGTACTGCTTTGCTCAAATCTGGAGTTTAGGAAAGGTTAGGAATGAAAATGAGTTGGTAATCATAATCAAATTCACGACTGGTGGCTTAGTATCTGACAGCATTCTTACTCTCTCATGTAAGACGATAAAGGAGGATTATTTATCTTCTTAGTTAACATCTTCAATGCTGAGTCCTCTTACCTCATTAAGGAGGTGCTACGCAGTCTCCAGGAACTCCACACTGAGCACCCCTTCATGCCCTTGCCCTGCGCCTCAGCCCCCTCCCTCCAGGACCCAAGAATCCACACCCACACCACACTCTGTCTTCTTAAGAGAACAAGAAGAAGAAGAAGCGAAGTCTCAAGAGCAAAATTCACACTGAAAACTGAGGTGCTTTGAACTTTCTCTTCACCTTAGCAGGGCTGCAGACGGGTAGTCTAAAAGACAACTCAGCAATGTCTGAATGAACCTTAAACAATGGCTCTTTTACAAGTGGGTCTTTAATTGAATACGGCTGTGTTTATGGAAGCAGAAGAGAATTTACAAAAAGTGGCAGATTCCCTTCACTCTGGAGCCTCCCTGGCACTCACAGGCAGGGCAGTTTTGCTATTGAGCAGTCCTGTTCCTTTCCCTGTCCTTATCCAGTGACTAATACATCTAGTTGAATGACATTAAAATATCACTTTATATTACTTTTTGTTAGAATTATCTCAAGTTGTTTTCCAGTGGGTAAATACGCACTTTCTAAACTCAAAGAGACACCAGAAATTCCAAACAAGGACTGGTATCTCTCTGTCTAAACTCCTACATCAAATATTACAAGACACAATTAAGTTGAAAAATTTTAGAACTTAATTTAGTGGGGCCCCTCTTCTGTGCATTTGCTTAAAAAACTACAAAGATAGGAAATTCAGGAAATCAACTTGATTAATCTATTCATTATATTTTTGTCACTGAATTTTATTAAGAAACTATCATTGTAAAGTTGCAGTGCATTTGTAGACTTTCTCAGTGTTGGGCAGTGCTAAGGTCTTCCTAGTGCTCTGGAACATACACAGATTAAAATTTAGCTACATCAGTGTGAGATTCCAAGACTTTTCATTTTGTTAATAGTGACCTCTACAGGTCAACTACAACAACAGCAAACAGTGACAGCAGCACCAGGGTCACAGACTTAGTTAATGACAGTGGTTCAACAGTAATGCTAAATCTAAAGTATCTCAGATCCTGAATATCAACTTATATTTTGTATCTTTGAATCTAATAAACATTTAGTAGGCTCAAAATTCTCCGTATACTATAGTTTCAAAATAAAGAGATTTCTAGGGGCCGGCCAAATAGCTCAGCAGATTAAAGCGCCTGCAGGCAGGTGCAGGGGTAGGGGGGTGAGGGGGAGTTCGATCCCCTGGGCTTCGGTGCCGGCCCCGCCTCTGGGGCGCTGAGACAGCCATTGAGACTGGGCGTGGTGGCGCACACCTGTAATCCCAGCTCTTGGGAGGCTGTAAACAGATGGATCACTATGAGTCCGATCTAGTAGTGAGACCCTGAACACCCTGTAGAGCCTTCTCTAGAATGCAAAATGAATAAATAAATAAAGAGATTTCTGATAAATTCTTTGTTTATTTATACAAAATTAAGAAACTAGGGAAAAACTTACAAACAGGAAAACTTAAAGTACATTCTAATGCTAATCTTTTATTTGGAAAAATAAAAAGATATTATAATAATACAATAATTTTCCTGAAAAGTATGTGAACATAAAAGTTGATTTAAAAAAAAATAAACCTCTTTTTCCTCAAAGCATGGCCAGTGTGACTTTTGCTCATTCATTAAGGAATTCTTAAAACAGTAGCACAATTAAGAGTTACGGGATTTTTTTTTAAGGATTAGATTGTAGAATTTAACTAAAATGTTATGAATTCACCAATCTTGTGAATGTCAATATACTCTGATGATTTCCCACAAGAAAAATAGCCTCATGTGCAATCTGATAATTCTCTATAATAAACTGGGAAATGTTGCAATGAAATTTTAACTCTGGGGGTGAACTAGAGCAAAACCAGGTCCTTCGTGCTGAACTACATCCTCAGGCCTTTAAAAAAATTTGAGAGCCCGCTAAATTGCCCAGGTTGGACTCAGCCTTACGATCCTCTTTCCTCAGCCTCCCACAGTCCTGGGCTGACAGTCCGTGCCCCACCACACCTCGCTGCATTAACTATTTTGAACTTTCATTCTAAAACTCTTTCTAGCTTGAGCCAGAAAAATAATCCAATAAGTAGACCAGTTTTAAAGTCATTATTCTCCAGCTATAAGATACACTCGAGTGAACATTTGAAAAGTCCTGTAAATAAGTACAGCGCACCTTTCCTGCTCCACCTCTCACGCTCCTGTCGTGGGATTATCACCTCAAATCCACGATGTCTGGGTCTCTCCCTGCCATTTCCCTTCTCGGTATTTCCCTACATTTCAAGCGCTTGTCGGTATCGGAGATTCCTTCTCGCTCTAGTCCACTCCCGTTGCAGGCTCTGCACATGGTCCACGCGGATTGATGCCTTCCTAGATGCCTTCAATCTCAGGCAATTTGACAATTTAATATGTTTAAGAAATACAAGTAGCACCCAGGAAAACTAGGCTCAAGCTCTTGGTGATGACAAGGATGGAGTTTACTGACAAAGGATTTCGGTCTTCAGAATAAAATGAAGTCTGAAGTCTGAACTAATCAATTATGAAAAGTGCCTTCAAATATTTTAAATACATGTTTAATGATAGCCATGAATCAAGGCATTACAAATACCCAGGGCTCTCGCAATATGCTTAGTTTTCTGAAGTTAATTTTAGTAGTAAATGAAGTTTTTTTTCCATCATTTACTTGATAAATATACTCTTGCCCTCAAGTTTATCTTTTATAAAAAGAACATGATAATTCCTATGTAATAATATACTTAATATGATCAAATAGTTGATATTTGATAGCCACAGAGCGTAACTGTTAGAAATTAATTCTAGCTGACTGCGGTAATCCCAGAACTCAGCAGGCCAAGGCAGGAGGATCGCTGTAGGTTCCAGGCCAGCCTGGGCTTCTTAGCAAGAGCAAGGCCAGCCTGAACTACAAAGTGGGCCCCTGTCTCAAAGCAAACTAGTACTACTAAAATTTATACTATAGTAATAACCAAAAATTTTGAAAAATCTTAGAAAAATTATAAGATATGCATAAAATGCAATTCCACTTTAATAAGTTTTATTTAAAGCATAGAGATTTTTCAAAGGTCTAAAATAGGAGCATTTCTCTCATGCACATTTTAAATAAAATATTAAGGAAAGAAATTCGGTGGTGATATAGCCCTGTAGACCAGCGCTCTGGGAGCCTAAGGAAGGAGGGTCACAAAGATTGATCCCTACCCTAGAGACAGCCTGTTTCAAAAATACAATTTTAAAAGATTGGGGAAAAATTTAAAGGTCCAATCTGAAAATGGGCCTTTGAAATGAATAGACATTTAGCACATGAAGAAGAAGAAATGGTAAATAAATGTATTAAAAAATGTCCTACTTCATCAGTCATCTGAGAAATGCAAATTAAAATGATTCTGAGATTCCATCGCTGTGGTCAAGAAGTTAATCAATAGCAAATGCTGGCAGGGCCATGGAGAACAAGGAACGCCTCTCCACTGTTCATGGGAGTGCACACTGCTATGGGCACTAAGAAAATCAGGGGGAGATGCCTCAAGATGCTGAGATTGGTGGTCTCATTCTACCCAGCTAGTCCCCATCTTGGCCTCTTCCTCAAAGAACTCAAAGCACCATACCACAGGGATACACCAGGCCCACATTTGTAGCAGCACCATTTATGATAGCTGAATATTGGAAATAGCCCAAACTCCCATCAACTGATGAATGGATAAAGAAGATGTGGGTTTTTTATACAATGGAGTACTACTCTGTCATAAAGAAGAAAAAGCCTGAGATGTTTCTAGGTAAATGGATGCATCTTCAGACCACACTGTTAATTGAAATGAATTAGGCACATATGTGTAAATACCACATATTTTTTTTTTTTTGGTGTGAGAAACCAAAGTGTAAATAAGGATGAAAATATATTACAGATATTGTGAAATAAAATATTCAAGTAGAAAGGCAAAAAAAAAAAAAGGAGAGGGAAGGGGAAAAGAAAGGAAAAGAAATGTAAAAATAATTAGAAAAGGAGGAAAAATGGAAAGAAAGGTTTTGTAAGCAAAGCGGGAAAGAGAGGTTGAATGGAGGGTAGGGGAATGTGAAAAACACAAGAGAATCAAAAGACGTCACATACAGGCCCAAATTCCCTATGATGAATGTGACTGTTCTGTGTACCTAAAATGTACCAATAAAAATCATTTTCTTTTGGGGAAAAAAAGGCTGGGGGACAAAAAAATAAATAAATAAAGCTGAGCATGTACCTACCTCAGTGAGAAGGTCTTGGGTTCAATCCCCACTATCAGTAAATCAATCAAATCTTGACTATATTTTCAGCGTATGCCAACTATCACCTCAGAGTATTTGGGACGGCTACCAAGGGAGGCCAGGGAGGAAAGTACAGAAGGAAGAAAAAAGTGAGCACAAGAGAAGATGAAGAGAGAGATGTAGAGCTAGTAGATGTGCTGCTGGTGGGAATGTAAAATGATACAGGTACTAGGAAGCCCGCGGCTGGCCCTCCAGATCTCATGCAGAAGGACCACGTGATGTAGCAGCTGCTCTTCTCAGCATACATCTGAAGTAGCTCAAAGCAGGATGTCAGAGAGACATCTACTCATGCTATTGATAGCAGCGGTAGGCACAACAGAGAAAAGGCGGCTGCACCCACTGATGGGCACTATCCAAGTGTTTATCAATGACAGTAATAGTTATGGATACTCATAACAGTTACCTATCAATAACAGTGTCTTTCAGTAACGACTATGGATCCTACAACACAAAATCACTGTGTACATTATGCTGAGTGAAGGATGTTAGTAATGAAGTGCTGTCTGATCCCACTGATGTGCAGTACCAATCAAATGCATGGACAAAGAAAGGACAATGATGACATTCAGGGACCACGAAAGGGGGGAATTGGGTTGCAGCTCAGTGCAGGGGTGTGTCCAGCACATAGGAGGCCGTGAGTTCAATCCTTGACACAAAACCAAGATGAAACACAGAAACATAAAGAAAAAAATCCTGGAGGAGATATGCTGTAAAACATCAAGAGAAATTAAAAAGGCCCCCTGAAAACCTATTCTAAGGGTAGGGTTGGTAAAGTCACAGGAAAAGGGATTGAGGGAAGTGAAGAGCTTTAATGGTAACTGATCCACTAACTAGAACCCACCAATAATGTTTTTTTGACTGAGAGCAATGACATGATTATCATGTACTTATTTGAACCAGCTTTAAAGTATATCACATGGGGAAATGTTAGTAAGGGAAATAAGTTGATTAAAAATATCCTTAGTCTAGTTCTACTGATACAGCCCTACAATACTGTTCTTTGTGTCATCAAAATTGCTTGTAAGGGCCAGCCAGAGAGCTCAGCGGACTAAGGCACCTGTTTAGGAAGACACAGGGACCTGGGTTTGGTCCCCAGCGTGTCATGCCGATCCCACCCCTGTGGCACACTGAGACAGAGACTCGAGGCTGAGCGTGGTGATACACACCTGTAATCCCAGCACTAGGGAAGCTGAAAACAGGAGGATCAATACGAGTCTGATCCGTGCAGTGAGACCCTGTAGACCCTGACCTAAACACGTTAAAAAAAAATTGCTTGCTAGCGATAGGTTTCTTAAAGGAGTCCTACACCGTTCTTTTAAAAACGTTTCTTTCAAGTTGCTGACACACATTTTAAGTTGTAATGGTAGGACTTTTATATTTGAATAAACTCATTCTTTTGGGTTTTCTTCCATTTCAATTAAATTCTGCTGAAATTTAAGAAGCTTGTCTTTAAAGCCAATGGGATGTTTACTTTAAATTAGCAAACTGAAGTTTAATACTCTGCCAATTATATTGTGTGATAAATGGACTTAGAGATTCACTGAAATACTCTGCTTTGAAATTTATCTACTTTAATACACTTAATAATTTGTCCTGATTCAAGTATGTTGCTTAATGTATAATAACAACACCTGTAGCTTCAAAGACATACAGAATTCAATAAGGTGAATAAATATATATATATTATATATATTAGCATGCCTTGTTTATGCACAGGCGGGCACTGGCTACTGCGCCCCAATCTGGCGACTGCCTGGCAGCAGTTATGAGATGCATCCTTATTTCAGATATGTTTAATATTTGGAAAAAGTGCATCTCCAATACTATGAAATGTATTATCCTAATTTACTGCATTGTTTGTCTGATTACGTAAACATGTCACTATATTCATTATCCGTTGTTCTCCTGCCTTCCTATTACTGGCATACTTACATAGAAACACATTTAATGTTGACAAAGACCTGCTCCTCACATTCTACATCCATCACGGTTTTGAAGAAATGACACACGCTACAACATGCCCAGGGCTTTGCAGATCTGAAAGGCAGACTACCTTCACACCAGAGGCTGAAGACAGTGCTTCACATTCGAAGGGCTGTGACTATTTAGTCATGAGTACTTTGCTCTTACCAGAAGAAGCTGCTGACTAGGTGCAGGCGAAGTTTAGAACAAGGACTCACAAGGGTCTCCTCATCCATCCAGCACAAGTAATGAAACATAATTCCTTGGAGAATGACCAAGATCTTGAAGTTTATCCTTTCAAAGGCTCTATCATTATTTTGTTTGGTTGCAATTTCTACTTTGGTGTATTTCCCCTGGCTAGAATAGCCAAAAGGCAATATAAATTTTCAGCATATCTAAACAACTAATAGATAATATTGGGCAGGATATCATGTCTGCATCTTGTACAATGAATAACCACTAAGACAGCAATATGCAATGTATTAATTATCGAAACTTTGCTAGTCATCAGTTTTGAAACTGTCTCATTGCTATTTCTCAATACAATTATTTAAAATTAAAAAAATAAATGAACAAACAAAATGTGGGGAAAAAAAGAACAGTCTGACTAAAACTGAAATCTCAAATCTATATCTTTAACAATCTTTTTTAAGAAACTAACCTAATCCGCTGCAGGAAGAGCCCAGTTCTGTATTCATGCCCATCTGCTGCATGACTTGCTTCCCATCTGACCCTGGATTGAATCTATTTTACCTGAGCAACTGCGCTTGCAGTCTTATCAGTGGACCACAGTTTTGTCCCACCTCATGTGCGAGTTCCCACGTTTTCCACTTTAGACCCACTTCACCTGTGGTTTTGCCCTGTAAAAGTCTCTTTAAAAAGGCAGCTTCCTAGGTAACCCACTTGAGTCCCCCCGTCCCCTGTCCCCATCTCAGACAGAAAGTTTCTTGCCCCAAGTGAATGCATCCTGCTCTTAATCCCCGTTGTTCCTAAAATTCAGTCTTTGGTTTTAGAGAACACCAACTCATCCCAGGTCCCTTTCGGTGGTGGTCCTCTCCCCTATGTCACCCTGGGAAGGAGCAAAAAGAAGGTGCATGGCCTCTGTGTCTTCCTGTCATGTAGTCTGCAGGTGCTGAGGAACATCCCAGAGGTCTGCAACCTCCGAGGAGTTCTACGTGCACGTTACAGACCCCTAAATGTGAAGATTTTGTGGCAAAAAAGAAACAGTCATTTTGTTCTTAATAAGCTAAAGGAGAAACATGCTCAAATAATTCATACTATAATTATATTTTTCAATATGGCTTGTCAAGTTGGTACTTTATTTCATCTTGGATATGTGTCTTCCAAGTACTTTAGCTCTTCCTGGGTACTTTTGAAACTAGTAAGTTTCAGAATGTGTTAAAATCCCAGTACTTTGGTATTCAAAGTACTTTAAGGAATTTCAGAATACAGGGGAAATATATGCAACGAGTGCTCCTTCACTGAATACATATTTCATAGAATGCTAAAGTCGGCAGAAAGACCAAAAAAATGAAAAGGGGTGACGGCGCATGACAGAAAAGGTGAGCAATGTGCGTACTTTCAAGAATTAGATGTGACTTACATAACAGAAATCCAAATACAGTGACTTCATGCACCCACCGGTGCTCCGTTGTTAACGTGAACCTTCAGAGGTCATCTGAGAAAGCAGCCTTTCCGCTGCCAATAGGAAGTACAGAAAGTGCGAAGGGTTCCGAAGGTTGTGGGCTGAACCTAGAAGCAGCACAGAGTAATTTCCTCTTTCAGAGGTAAAATTCAGTCAGCTGACCACTTCTAACTGTAAGAGAATATGGCCAGAAAAATAAATCCATAAATAATAAAGTACAGGACTTTAAAGTATCTCATAATCACATGCAAAGTATTCAGTGTTGGCTGTTCTTCTTAGCACTGTTAATCCTCGGTAGTTAGAAAGATCTAACTGCCATAATAGTAGTAGGTTTTGCGTAGGACTGGCAATGTCTGAAGTTGTTGACTTGAGCTTTCTACAGCTCAATGTATTAATGTGGCTTTACTTTTTATACTTCGTTTTCATACTTTTCTGCTGGATGGTTAAGACCAAGATAAAGCAAGGCCTATATAAGAAGAAATGTAACTTTGTTTCTGACAAGTTCAGTTCTGCTGAATTTAAGCACCTACAATATTTAAGTGACAATGGAATGCCCTTCTCCGACAAAACTAACCAGAAAAGTGGGATAGAAATGAACGACCCTTTTTGCTCTGTACACTCAAGATAGTTAGGATAGATATACAGCTCTTTTCTCTTAACTCAATGAATAGAGAGGTTTGTTCTAATGGTGTTTGGGATGGGATATGATGTCTGCATCTTGTACAATGAATAACCACTAAGACAATATGCAATGTATTAATTATTGAAAATGTGCCAGTAACCGGTTGTGAAACTGTCTCACTGATATTTGTTTCTTGATAAAATTATTAAAAATAAATAAATAAATAAGAAAGATCTATTTGCCTCTAGGATTAAAATTATATTTATAGACATTTTTTCCAGTCCCCTTAAACATTTTTTTGCCTATATTAGCTACCCTAGATGTGGACAGATCTTTCATATTGCTGTTATATCTAAATTTTATCATTAACTAGGACATAAATGTACGCTGATCTCTAGCAGTGTAAACGTTGGATTTGTACCTGCCACTCCGGTGCTCGAGCTCCCATGAACTGGCCTGATGCTAGCAGGCCCTTCTCAGCATTCAGAGCAACGTGCACACACAGAACAACTTCATGAACAGGGATGTCATTCTGGGAACCTCTGTGACCACGACAGGCAAGATGAAAAGCTGCTTCCTTTTACAATCACGCCCGAACACAAATAAAGCGTGAGCGGTGTGGACGCTGAAGAGCAAGCGCTGCTCCTCCGAGCGCATGTCAGTGGCTACCGCTTCTTTAGTGCTTGCAGCTGCAGCCGCATTCTCAGCTAGACTGAACGTGCCGAGACCGTCCAGCCACAAGTCTGCCACTGTTTCTGGCAGCGCAGGGCCGTGCAGGGCATCCTCATGCCACCCTCCTCAAAGCCACCTACGCAGAGGCCTAACACTGTTACGGACCTTTTTAGCACCTCCCCGCTGAGCAGTCCTGCAGTTACCAGTAACGCATGCGTCTTTATCTTCTTATTACAATAAGCATGTTCAACCCTAAGTACTGTATGACCCTGGTGGTACCCAGCTGAAGATCACTGATACTAAGTGAAAGTTATCAACCTGCCTACTTTCTTCACTTTTTCTCAACATCCATTATTATTTATCTTTTCAAGCTGTAATATTAATGCTTTTATGCTGTCATAGTTGTTCCACTAAAATCACAATTTAAAAAACATTGTAATTTTCATTACTTCGAAAAACTCAGTTCTGTTTTGCATTTAGTGATTAGTATGCATGTTCTTTCTTGTTTAGTAATATCCTTAAAATACTGTTTATCAAACAACTGTGCTCAGTTCATATTTAATTTTTGAAGATAAAATTCCTTTAAAAGCTTCTTAGAGCCACATTCTGAGTTGCACTGCACCATTTTAAGCATGCTGAGAAAGATAATGGTTTGTGATTTCAAAGTACAATGTAGACACTATAATGGTGAATATTTTAGCAGAATAAAATAAGATGCAGTTGCATTAATTTTCATTTTGAACTGCTGCCTAGAAGAATTCTTTGATCAGAGGACAGTAATATTTAACAAGATAAACATTTAAGTAAATGAAGTTTCTTAGTACTTTTTGTAAGAAAAATGAAAAATAGTATAACAAAAAATAAAGCATTAGAGGGCCGGCCAAATAGCTCAGAGGATTAAAGAGCCTGCAAGCAGGCACAGGAGCCAGGGGTTCGATCCCTGGGTCTGCTATGCGGGCTCCGCCCCTGGAGTGCGCTGAGATGGCAACTGAGACTAGGCATAGTGGCTTTTGGGAAGCTTTAAACAGGCGGATCACTATGAGTCTGATCTAGTAGTGAGACCCTGAACACCCTGTAGACTCTTCCCTAAAAGTACAAAAACAAACAAATAAACAAAAAACCCAAGCATTAGAAATTATACAGAATTTCACTATATTTTTTTATTTATTTTTGATACAGGGTCTTGATACACAGTTGAGAGACGACTAATGATCCTCCTGTCTCAGCCTACCCAGCATGGGCCACCACACCTGGTTTCAGGGCCAGCACAGCACACCAGAGGTTCTGGGGCCAACTGGGGACTGAACTCAGGTCCTTGTGCTTGCCAGGCAGGCGCTTACACCAGCGAGCTATCTCCCAGCCTGAGAATTCCACTATCAACTGCAAGTTTTCAGTTTAACAGGGAAACTTCCTCATGAATTCCTTTTTCACTTTCTCACTGAAGCCAGCTACATAAGCTTAGGTATTTTTTTTCTAAATTTTTCTACCAAGAGATCATGAGACCATAAGTTTAAAAAGTTTAACAAAAGCAGAGCTGTGAAGTGATATAACTTCCAAGAGCTTTGAAATAATTTGGAAAAATTGAAAGCTTAACAAAGTTGTCATACCTTGCTTACTTATTACATGTTTTTGGACTCAATAAAAAAACAAGAAAGAGGGGCCCGAGAGATGGCTCAGTGGAATAAGCACTTCCCTGGCAAGCACAAGGGTCTGAGTTCAATCCCTGGTTCCGCAAAAAAA